CCCCCTCCTTCTTTTCTATTGCCTCTTTCTCCCTCTTTCTTTTCTTATTCCCCATTCCCCCCTCCTCTTTTGCATTTCCTCATACATTCTTCCTCCTCTCCAACATCATCCTTCCTCCTCTCCAATTCCTCATTTCCTCTCTTTTTCATCCTTCCTCCTCCTTACTTTATGATTCCTCTTATTCCCTCCTCTCTTTAAAAAACAATCCTCCTACTTTCTTCCTCCTCTCCAGTTCCTCATTTTCCCTCTCTCTTTCATCCTTCCTCCCTCCTCCTTCCTTTCTGATTCTTCTTATTACCTTTTTTTTATTTCCTCCTACATTCTTCCTCCTCTCCAATTCCTCATTTTTCTCTCTCTTTCATCCGTCCTCTTCCTTCCTTTCTGATTCCTCTTATTCCCTCCTCTTTTTTTTTTAATTCCTTCTACATTCTTCCTCCTCTCCAATTCCCGTTTTCCTCTTTTATCCTTCCTCCCTCCTTACTTTCTGATTACTCTTATTCCCTCCTCTTTTTTTATTATTCCTACATTCTTCCTCCTCTCCAATTCCTCATTTTCCTCTCTCTTTCCTCCTTCCTCCTCCTTTCTTTCTGATACCTCCTATTCCCTCCTTTTAAAAAAATCCTCCTCTCCGATTCCTCATTTTTCCTCTCTTTCATCCTTCCTCCCTCTTCCTCTCCTTCCATTCTGATTGCTATTATTCCCTTCCTCCTTTCTAAATCCTCTCACCTTTCCGGCAGAATTGACCCTCCAGGTAGACTGATGACCGCGAAAAGGTCAAAGAGGAAGGAGGTATTCACTGACCTTTCACCATCTACATTTTGACCTCGAATAAAGGTCAAATATCTGTATTCGTTTATTTATTCATTTAAAAGTGTTATGAGGTGAAAAAAATCGACAAGGGGCCAATCCCAAAAAAAAAAAAAAATCTTTTATTTTTCATATACAAACGTGCAAGTTCGCCCAATATCACATTGTCATGCATAGATATATAAATTGGTCAACGCATAAAATTCATGGAATGTGTTGGATGCATCACAACATCCATGGAAAAGATGTCAAAAAAAGAAAGAAAAAAGGATGGGAAGCGAATAGATACGTAAAAAGATAGGGAGGAGAGGGACACGTGCGTCGATGAAAAGCATAATAGAAAAAGGAGAGGAAGACTTGAAGGAATAAAAGATAGAAATGAAAATAAAAAGGAGAGGATGCATGTGCAAAACATTAGAAGATATATAGAATATAGTGCGCACACACATACATACATGTGTGCGTATATATATATATATATATATATATATATAATATATATATATATATATTCATATTTATAAATATATTATATATATATATATATATATATATATATATATATATATATATATATATATATATATATATATACGACACACACACACACACACACACACACACACACACACACACACACACACACACACACACACACACACACACACACACACACACACACACACACACACACCTATATACATATATATATCTACACATACATTGATACATCCTGTTACTACTGCTTGTGTTTCATTTCGTTCGCTCGAGTACGTTGCTATGATTGCGTTCGAATCCTCGTAAGTAAATAAGTTTCGATCTTCTCTGTAAGGGAAGAAGACATATGACGGGCTTGCATCCTTGAGACAATAAAACCGGGTTTAATAAAAGGCTTCGGAAGAAAATAAAGCTGGAAATTCAGTTGCGCTTTTCGTTACTACTCCAGAGCATGCTTATGTGAAAATCAGAATTTTATTCGGAAATCTGTTAGACGTCCAGATTTTTTTTTCGGATTGTATCAAAATCAGGCTCGGTATTTATTATTACTACTACTATAACTACCACTTCTGCTACTACTACTACTACTACTACGACTACTATGACTACTTCTACTACCACTACTACTACTACTACTACTACTAGTACTACTATTACTACTACTATTATTACTACTACTATTAGTACTGCTACTTACTACTACTTCTTCTACCACTACTACCACCACTACGACTACTATTACCACCACCACTGCAACTACTACTCCTACTACTCCTATTACTAATGATACTCCTGAGGATACTGATGAATATGTAAACAACAATAACAACATGGTGGTTGTTCTTCATTTAATTTTTGTACACAGGCTACTTTGTATCCATGTGCACATTTCGTATGATCGTGACAACTGCCTCACATAATTACAATTTCTCTCTTTGATAGATCTTTATATGCTGCGCTGCATGCACACACACACACACACACACACACACACACACACACACACACACACACACACACACACACACACACACACACACACACACACACACACACACACACACACACACACACACACATATATACACTTTTCTCCTCTTCCCTCCTTCACCACCCCCCTCTCTTCCCTCTTCTCTCCCGTCTCCTTTCCCGCTTCCTTCTTGCATCCAAATGAGATATGAGAGAGAGATATGACCCCAGTAGGAATGTCTCCTCGTGAAAATGATTTCTCGAGCCTGCCAAAGGATCCCAGGATGACTTTCACAGGATCAAGAGGCGGGAAAGGGCGTTTCCTTGGAGCTCCTGTGATTACGGACTCTCCTTCTAGTGTAGGATACGCTGGTAGGATGGTTTTCAAGTCAGGATACCCTGTAGGATCCTCTTTCGAACGAGGACTCGGTCAATATTAGGATAAGGAGCGGAATCTAGCAAATTTTGATCGATTGTATTTGTGAAGAAAACGGACTGATGATGGACAGAAAACGGAGAATATTGAGGGGTAACTTTAAAATATGTAAAACTATAAAGAAATACACGATAAAACGCTAAAGGCCAGTAAAATATCAATGCACTCTTGAGGTTATGTTTAATTTGAGAATTTATGTCTTACAGAGAAATGAAACTTATTTTTACACAATGTCGGCAATCACTTGATGATAACTAATGATAATGATAAAGATGATAGTTCTGATAGTGATTATAATAGAAGTAACAATGATGATAATAATAATAGAATTGCCAGTAATGATGATGATGATAACGATAATAAGAATAGAATATTACTAATAATAATAACAACAATTATAATGATAATGATAGCAATAATGGTAGTGTTGATAATGATAATGTAAAATAGTAATAAATGATAATAAAAAACTAATAACTATGATAGAATCAATCATAACAGTAAGGGAATAAATTATATAAAATGAATAAACAAATAAATCATAAACTAAATACATAAAGAATAAAAAGTGAAAAAGCAGCCATTTCGCCAGCTAAAGAAACGCAGAAAATAGGAACAACGTTTGCAGGTAAAACTTATGTAAATATAACTTTGGAAAACTTCATGGCTTTTGCTTTGTTTTGTGAAGTTCTTCCCACATTTAGCTACATGGACAGGGCGCTGTTAGTTCATCTAATGAAGGGATAACATATGAAAACTTGAACTGTATCTTTTCTCTTTTACGAAATTCTACGACAGTTAACTTTACAATGCAAGTGAATATATAGCATATAAATATATTACTTGTTTTTGCAACATGAAGAGGACGCAAATACTACAGTAGATTCCTCCTTTTCTGACAACAAGAACAGGGTGTAAATACTACAGGAGTTTCTCCCATTTTTGTTGTAAGATCAGAAAGTAAATACTATAATAGTCTCCCCATTTTTTACAAGAACAGGGTGCAAATACACCGCAGTTTCCCCTTTCTTTTTCTCCCCTTTCTCTCTTCATGTTTCTCCATCTTTTTATTTAAGGACAGGCCGCAAATACTCAGTACTACAACTATTTTATCTTTTTATTACTGTAACAAGAACAGAACACACAAAAAAGTCACAGCATGTTTCCCCTCGTCTTCCGCTCCCCCCCCCTCCCCCCCCACCCCTCGTACTCCCCTCACCACAGCCACGTCATTCGTCTTCAGTATCCAATCCGACCGAAATCCACTCCCGATCTCCTTGATTAACCGGCTGACGTCATTATCGTCGATAAACCTTGATTGGTATCTTGTGGTGCATCATCCGGGCCTCCTCCCCCCCCCCCCCCGACTCAATCATGTCGATAACATGTTTCCTGCGGATGAAGGAGGAAGGGGGCGATCTCTCTTTGTGAATTGTTTTGATCTCGTGTTTAAGAGGGAATGGAGAAGGGAGAGAGAAGGTAAATTTGTCTATATATCTGTTTCCTATTTATCTATCTATCTCTACATCTATCTATATCTATATCTACATCTGTCTATATCTATATCTATCTATATCTATATCTACATCTATATATATCTATATCTATCTATATCTACATCTATCTATATCTGTATCTACATCTATCTATATCTATATCTACATCTATTCTATATATCTATCTATATCTATCATCATATCTATATCTATCTATCTATATCTATATCTATCTATATCTATCTATATCTATATCTACATCTATTATTATATCTATATCTAAACATCTATATCTCATATCTATCATCTATCTATAATATTTATTTCTATACCTATATCTATATATCTACATCTACATCTATTTATATATGCATGGATTTACATACACACAAAAATAACTGGGTGGTTTTCCCTTATAATCTTCGACCCCCCCCACACACACACACAACACACACACACACACACACACACACACACACACACACACACACACACACACACACACACACACACACACACACACACACACACACACACACACACAAACACACACACACAAACACACAAACACACACACACACACACACACTCACACACACACACACACACACACACACACACACACACACACACACACACACACACACACACACACACACACACCACACCACACACACACACACACACACACACACACACACACACACACACACACACACACACACACCACACACATACACCACAAAACACACACAAACACAACACACACACACACACACACACACACACACACAAACACAGAAAAAACACACAAACAAACTATAAATAAAAACAAACACATTAAAACACACACATTCAAGCACAACACAAACAAACAACACCACACGCACAAACACAACCAACCACAAACACAAGAAACGACGCCCGTGTGACGCTGGCTTTGACGCTGGCTTTAGCTCGGGGGCAATAAGAGACAAGTGTAAGCTCCTTAAGAGACAAGCCAGNAGAGAGAGAGAGAGAGAGAGAGGGAGAACAAAAAGAGGGGGGAGAGGGGGAGAGAAAGAGGGGGAGAAGGGAGCAGGCGAGGGAGATGGAGATAGAGAGAAAGGGAAGGATAGGGTGAGGGGGTGGGATAAGAGGGAGAGACCGACAAAGGACTCTATAATAAAAAATTGATATTTTGAGAATATGGTCATAACTTGAAAGTTTCAATTTCTCAAAATACGAAATTCGATAACCTTCAGATAATGGTGATATCATTACTTTATTATGACTAATCATAATCTAATTTTCCATAACTCGGGTCTCTGATATGTACATAAATATATTTCTAGCATATCCAATCTAAATAGCTCCTAGTAATAACAGACTATGTGCGAATGTATCCAGAAGACTTGGAAAGGGGTTTATAATTTGATGAAATTCACTTAGATTTATATTATTCAAGGGGTGCCTGTTGAACTTTAACCTTATTTTTCAACTTTTCAACTTTGAATATCCCAATCATGTATTAAGGAGTTTTCTGTCAATTTGGTACCAGTAATTGAATGCCGAATATTATATTTGTAGAAGACAAAATATTGTGTCCATATTCAAGTGAATTGTGTTATTGTCACACAGCATATTAGTCGCTTTGAATCAAGTAAAATACACAAAATGAAATTAATTTATCCAAGTTAGTTCCTTCATACTTGTTTCTATTGCTCCATGCTATTATATAACCATACGCTTGCATATTTTGTAAATGTTTAATATCGCTTTGTACCAAGTGCATGATATGTATCATTAGAATATAACTGTCTGAAGTACCAGCATCATATTAGTAAAGGTATCAACATGCTACACACTGCTTTAGGGTGAAGTGTAGTCTCCATCTACCTTATACAAAAAATTCAGGTACATGAAAGAACCGTACTAATATCATATGTTTTATTTGGAACCAAGAGAAGACCAATACACATATACTGTTTTCCTGTTATGACAGTAATATAAACTGGGTTTTAAATGGCTGTTACATATTGGGATTACATTGATATTCAAGCATCTATTGCCTTTTCCTGGATGCTGGGCTAAGGCCTACCTCAAAGCTGCTAGTGTTTCACTGTCTGTTATTCGATGGAAGTAAGTAGGCCATGTTCCCTGAAATTATTTAATTAGTTTTGGGTTGCCTGTTATGCAAAAAGGGTACAAGATCAGCACTATGCACTATGGTGGCATTGGGTCTTAGTGTCCATTCCCACCCAGTCTTTTTTTATGACTACGAACTACCCAATCTCAGGGAAATTCCTGCCTTTTTTGTGTCCATCGCTTGTTCTTCTCATCTCCAAAACCTCTCCAACCACTCCGAAACTTTGGCTGGCATTCTTAATAGCTATCACAACTTCATGAGGGCTTGAATCAATTTACATGCATGTAAGATTACTCAACTAATACGAAAAAGTAATACTACAATCGCCCAAATGAACTCAGATCATATTCTAGAAAATATTACAAAAATAATTCATTTACACAAATTTTGAAGGTTAAGACAATAAAAATCATGAAATCAATATACAAGATACTACTTTTAAAGGGCTTTTATCTGTAATCATTATCATAGGAACACCATACACTGTTTAGGACAACAGTTCACACACTCGTGTATTGGTCTGTTCAAAATACAAATAAAACCATCGAGAGTAGATATGGGAGTACAGGAAGCTTTCTTCACTTTTCTTCATGTTCAACAACCTTCTTTTCTCAAAAAGACCATGCAAATGATACATGTCTGCAGTTTAAATCATTCAGTACAAGGAAATGTTCTAGAGAAAACAAAAAGTATTTGGTATGGTCTTTAATATCTTGTCATTCATAGAACACAACACCATTCTGGCTGAAGCATAATCTTTGCAACAGACAACATTTTGTTGTGTTGCTATGACTATTTTGTACATAGTTGACATCCACAGGATTTAGTCAAGCCATGACAAATAATTCACCTGATAGACATGCCAATCACCTAATAAGCACAACACGAAGACGAGGGTCTTGTTCCTCCCACACTTCTCTCTTGATTAAACTCCTGCTTCTTATTTAAGACACAGCTGGAGCACCGTCCTGTCTACATAGTCACTGGAGTCAGTGAGTCCATTTCTCCCTGCATAATGCAGCTCCCCATTAGGAGTCACTCAACCAACCCTGAATGGGAGCATGACAATCACTATTTATTATCATTATTATTTTCTTGAGAGTTCACTTGGAGAGCATTCCACTTCAACATCAGAATGCTTATGGAACACTATCAATCCTTGTGCCTTTTATTCAGTACTATAGGAAGTGTATACTACAAGTCTACACAGAACACATATAATGGCAAAATAATGAGGTATTGTTGCATGACAAACGAGAGAATGATAAGCAAGTTCTCCAGTCGACAAAGCAACAGTAAAAGCTTGAACTCATTTGGCCAGGTTACATCACTGAGCAACTTAAAATCTAGAGAAAATGGGAAGAAATCGTGAATCTCTCCATCTCATTAATTCTCGACATTGCTAACTCACAGCCCAAGAAAAATTAATGATATTATGTGAGGAGGCCAAATATAAAAGGATAAATCCATATGGAAATAAAATAAGAGATGGAAATAATGACTGAACAATGTTGTTAGGCATCATTTATCTGTGCCTAGTGATGCTCCAAATGGACAAATTCAGTTTCCTGTGTAATCAATTGAACCAAAAATATACATTGCAAACAAGGATACAGTAAATGCCTCCTTTATGAAAAATGATATATGACAACTATCGCATGATGAATCAAAGTGGCACAATTTAACAACAATGCAACTGATCTAAATTAGTATACAATAATAACCCTTACAGTGATATTGGAAAACGTCACACAATGACTATTGTATATGCTGGCAAAAGGCCCTTGAGAATATTTTCCCCACCTCACAACATTCTAGGTACATAGACAGTTCTTGCTTACATGCGAGACTGTAGTACAAACCACACTGGGTTGACAAGGCTGCAGCACTAACACTCTTGCTAGATTAATTGTGCTATAAACACAACACTAGCTCACTTGCAAGACTGAATCACAGTGCTTGCTAGTTCACATAATCTTAGTAATATGGGAAATTAGCTTCTTCAAAATACCATAGTACAAACAGCACTTGTTCATCACAAAACCATGGTACATACAGTACTTGCTTTTCTGCACAACCATGGTATAAACAAAAGGAATTTGTTCAAAAGACATGGTACAAACAGCACTTGACCATTCACAATACCATGGTACAAACAGCACTTGCTTGTTCACAAGACTGCTACACTGAGTAGATAAGATTGCATGAAGACTAGTAGTAGCACTGTTACTATAGACAGACTGTAAGCTATCTATGACAGGCAAGTTTATGGAAAGTTCAGATGGAAAAGGTGCACTGTCACTAATGTAATTTGTGCCAAATTATACTGATGATAAATTCTCGAAAATACTGTCATGAAAAATAAAGAACGGAAAACATGATAAAACCGAAATTATTCAGTAATCAGCATCTTTATGACACTGGAAACCAAAGAATAATGTGCTTTACACAGCATGGAAAATGAGGTAATGAAGTATGATCACAATCTCTTCCATCATGCCTAAAATAACTATTTCAAAAAAGCTTACTACCTCAGGCTAAATTCTCAGTATATGATAAATAGGTTTACCTATTGGGAAAAAAACATAATAACACTCATGCCTTGATTTACCAAGCATTCAGTTTCTTATATCATGGTTTTACTCTTTGCAGTCTGTAAAGAAAAAAATTAAAACAAGAGCAAACAAAGTTCAATTTCTTCCACAATGACAAAAGAAAAAACAAAGCAAACCACATTGGTCGAGTAAACATCTCACCGGTACAAACAGAAAAAAAAAATGTATATAAATTCTTAACCATAATCACAACTGCACTTCCTCAAACGTTAAATAATTTCTTTTTACATGCTACCAAACTACACATGAAAAGGACTACTCTCTAAGTATCAATAATAAAGACTACAATCTATTCTGCTTCTCCACTTACAACCACAAAAAAAAAATCTATTAAGCATTTTCCTCCCTTCATCCACATAAAAAGAAAAAAAAAATCGACTAATGAAATTTGACTGATGACCTTCACATGTGATTTTAATGAAATGCTGATCTGTGCAATCAGTCAACAGCATGCATTTTCGCTGTATGCTGCTGCGAGTCTATGAGGGTTATCCATGGAGGATAATGAAGGGTAAAATCAAATATATTAGATTTTCATTTACACCAACTGTATTGTGATCAATTAGGCCAACTGTACAAAAGCAGTTTTTTTTCATATTTTCATGTTAGACAGGAAATTAATAAATAACTTGAATTTGACTATCCTATAACAGCCATCACATTTTTCAATATCTATAAAAAACAAAAAAGCTCTAAAAAGCTCAATCTTTTAAGTCATGATAATGATAATCAATTAATTATCACTGGAGGAGGAACACTAGATATTCACATTTAGGACAATATGAGGCCAAAACAAATCATCTAGATTCTTAACAATTGGGAGTTCATTTTCATTTACAAATTCTTCATGAGCATGAATGATAATTATATATTTCTATAAAAATACTTGTCATTTCCATTTCTATGCAATTACACCAGTATCGTTATCCTTTTGTCTTTTCTTTCCATGTTCTTTTTCATTTTTTATATCTTATTTTTTTTGTTAAATTTTTTTAACTTGTTTTATTTTATTATTTTTATATCTTTTTTTTTTCTTCAGAAGCTGAAATAC